TATGAGATAAGAAATTTTGAAAGTGAAATTGGAAGGATGAAACACTAAACTCACTCATTTGAAGACGATGGAATAGCTATCGCCGAGGCTGTGGTCAATATGCCTGCCACGGCGCTCCAGGAGAGAAGACCACGCATGGTCGTGAAGGAATGACGGGGCGAGACAACCACGACTATGTTCACAAAAGAAATTATAGAAGAGTAGTATAAATTGAAAGAGAAAAAAAAAGAAAAAGGAAAGTATTCAGCGGGCGTAAAGATGAAACGAAATTGTTGAACGACAAATTGTAAGAGAAGTGATCTTCCTAGGCTTCCTTATATAACTACGAGTACTAGTACTACTACTAGTAATACTACTAAACCATGCAACTCAGCTTATTCTACTCGGTGCAGTCAGGGTTCTCGCATTCGATTACCAACTCAGTTAGCTGCACTGTGGGCTAAATTTCCCGAGCTGAAGAAGATCGACTGAATCGTGGGGCTGAAGAACAACAACGACTGGTGAGCGTTTCACGATTCCATGGCCGTAGCCTGATTAGGAAATTGGTTATTTTCTCTTTGCATTAATGTTTGCACAAGGCTAATCTCACGCGTGCAGTGTACAAAAAGCTCAGCCCGAGGAGTGGGCCTTACATTGGGCCAATTCAGCCGGGATTGGCTGGTCAGAAGCGTAGCCCACCAAACAGAGCAAATGCCCCTGAGTCTTGAATGGTAAATCCTTAAATTGCGACCAACCCCTGAATCAGACTCAAACATACTAAATACTATGTGTCCTAGATCGATCTTTATGTAGTATTCGAATCCAAAGCCAGCTCCTCGAGCAGGTAAACTGGTGTACTTATTTTCGCCCCATTTCTCTATTCTGGAAAGTCTGGAATCCCGTCCTCGGTGCTAATCTGAATGGAGATATTCATTAAATTATCTATTACAAAGTATGCCAATATATCATAAGCATCGGACCGAAACCATTGGCCGAGTTGATGTCTAGTGCAACTTTTTGCGAGTTCAAGTTGTATCAAAGGGCCGGAACGGCAGCTTCCTTGTTCTCGCCACCAGCCTTTTTCACACTCTTCCATTCTAGGAAGAGACTTGCCACAAAGGCAACAATCATCAGCGCTAGGGCGACGCGGTATGCGTCTCTCAGACCACTCATATAAGCCTCAATCACACCATCTATCTGATCAAGCTTTCCAAGTTCGCCGAGGACCTTGCGCATCTCGGTAGCACCAGCTCCGACAATAGCCATGGGGTTCACACCAGTCGTATACTTGGTGATTCCATCAATGAGTCCATTTTGGAAAACTGATTGGGCAACAGCGATGAACAAAGCACCGCCCAGAGTTTGGAAGAACATGACTGCAGCTGTGCCGACGGGGATGTCTTCCGGCGAAAGGACAGTCTGGACAGCAGTCATCGGGACCTGGAATCCTGCACCCACGCCTGCACCTGCGACAATCTGGTAGCCGATCCACTTTCCGCTGGGCATATCGACATCGAACATGGTGATGAGACCCGTGCCGATGGCAGCAATCGCAGTACTGCCGATCAAAAAGGGTGTATAGTATCCGACCGCAGTAATCAAGCCTCCAAAGGTAACCGAAGAAACAACGGTAGCCAGCATGAGAGGTAGGAGCTGAATACCCGATTTCATGGCGGAGGATCCCTTAACACTCTGGAAGTAGATGGGGACATAATACACCAACAAGAAGAAAGCACCGCCGAAGAACAGGGCAAACAAACAGGACGCCAGAACGGTACGCTTCTTCAGAATGTGAGGTGGCAGAGTAGCCTTTTCACCCAGGTATATCTGCGAGGCGACAAAGAGAATTACCATGAGGCCAAACCCAACAAACAGTCCAATGATTTTGGAGTTGTTCCACGCGTACTTGTTTCCTCCCCATTGGAGGGCAAGCAGCAGGCAAACGATCGCAGGAATGAGTAGACTCGCGCCAATCAGATCCAATTGCTTGATGCGTTCCCAGACAGATGTACCGGAAAGATCGCTCTTCTTCGGCACTTTGAGGATGAAAACGATGACGGCGATTGAGAGACCGCCGATAGGCAGATTGATATAGAAGCACCAACGCCAGCTGATACCGTCCGTGAATGCACCGCCGAGTAGTGGACCGGCGATGGATGCGATTCCCCAAACCATTCCAAATGCACCGAAAACCAATGGTCGTTTAGGCAGCGGGACTGTGAAGGATATGATCACCAAGGCGCCGGAAAAGATACCGGCAACGCCAATGCCTGCAATGGCTCGTCCGACAATCAGGACTGTGCTGGATGGTGCAACGGCACAGATGAGAGACCCAATTTCGAAGATCAGAACGGCTACTAAGAATCCCCATTTGACCTGTGCGTTTGATGATTAGATCTCACTTCTGGATTGGTAGATGTTAGGTTGACCCACACTGAAAATCTTATAGATTCTGCCGTATGAGGGCTGAAGTGCTGTGGACGTGAGGAAGTATGCACTGCCATACCAGGCAATATCCGAGATACTCTTGAATTGATCAGTGATTTTGGGGATGGCGACACCGATGATGGTCTGATCGAGTGCCACTAGGAAGATAGCGAGGTAAAGTGCGAGGATAACGATGATGACTTTTGAAAAGGGAGGATATTCAGGCTCTGTTGTTTCTTGAACATCCTTAACGACCTTTTCTGGTGAACTTTCGATATCCACGTTTGTAAGACTGCTGGCTTTGCTAGCTTCCGTCATTGTCACTTGCTATTATGGCACGAGACAATAAGCAGATTCTTTTTGGCGGTATCAAGCCCGTTGGTAAGGAGGATGAAGCGATTGACAAACTCTCAATCTAGCTGCCAGCTTCCCATGGTTTTATAAATCATCCATCGTGACATCGGAGATCGGTCCCCGATCATACCGAAACGCAAAAACCGATGACAAAATTTCTAGCCACATGCGACGTGATACGGCCTGACACCTCTGGAACCCTGGATAGTGTTGGCGTAGCGCCGCAAATACGAGGCGGAAGTACACGATGGACCAATCAATGGCTCGGGTTGGTTCGGGATACCCTCAGATCTTCATTTCAGCACCGTAAGAGTCTAGCGACCATAGCGAATAGTGGTCGGAGCCGTGAGTCACTCAGCCAACGGACGAACTTCCCGGACGAAAAATTTCCTTGTTTCTCTGCAGCTTCGATGTATTCCATGAGGCGTACCCCGGGCTGACGCTTGTATGCCTTAATCGAGTTAGAGCCGGAGAGGGTATTCGACCGTCCCCATCCTCAAAATCCGACCGAGATCCGGATTTAACCTTAACATCCTTATCTCCACTCCATTTAAAGGGGATTCGAGGAAAAACTGCCAGTGAGACTTCACCTCGGGGTGTTCTTGGCTAAAAAGAGCCTTGGGTGGTAAGAATTATTGCATGACCTTCTACCAACTCACAGACCTGCTGTAAGACCGCCATTACATAGGTGCCAAGACGATTTCGTGATCGCCTTAGGCCCTTGCGGCTTTGGAAGCAATTTCGGGTGAAACCGTTGAATCTCCCGATGTCCGATATGCAATGCATGCCAGTAAGATACTTCAGCCACATGCAATACGAAAGAGCCACATGGCAAAGAAAAAAGTGATAGGCAAGATAAAAGACCCGTCACCTCATCTCGTCTCGTATCTTTACACGACTTGGGCCTGGTGTTGAATACTAGTATGTCACCACGTGGAACAACAATTTAGTTACAGATAGCCAGGTCACACTTCCATGCTTCAACTTTTGTTCCATGTGAGTTGGCTTTGATTGGTCGAAAATATCCTACTCCGGCGTGATTCAGCAGAGGCTTTTTGAAGAAAGTTACAAATATAAGATTCATGGATAGCACTGACGCAATTTGCCTCAAGTCAAGGAGCACTTCAAAGGGTTCAAAGTATATTCATTATTTATCTAGAAAACTTGGAAGTAGTGCATAAACTTCAATTAATGGTCTATATAATCTGGAATTTTTTCAAGTCATTGGCCGCAAGAGCACTTACGATAGTAGAAAATGACGTGACCGACCGGGTTGAAATAGAATGAAAGTCTTTCGAGCTTCCGAGATCCTAGCGTTTGAGCGCAATTGATTACCGTAAATGGATCTCGTATACTAGTATACCGACGGCCAGCAATCCGGGGTATCCGGGGTATGCTGTCGTATGCTGCCTAAACTACTGCCTGAACCTTATAACGCCTTATATTGCAGATGCCTTTGCACACTGGCAGGTGGCATGCTTACACCTAGGCATATGTTGGAGACAAGATCTCGCTTCGCCGGCTCTGTATGGACCTATTGGATAAAAATAGTAAATGACAATTCTCCCTAAAGAAAGTTTTGGGCAGCTTCAAAGGCAATAATCCCCTACCTAGGTAATTTTTTTCGAAAAGTGGATTATCAAAATACTAAGTACATCAGTTTCTATTTGTCGGGATTGCTCTTGATCAACCTTCATAACCAAAATTTTCAAAGTGGGCAGGCAACACAGCCTTCCAAGGCTCTACCTCCATAATCGACACCATTCGGAATTATCCCTAGTAGTATGACATGTGTCATGTTGAATATAATAGATAGTAGCAACACTGTTGAAGTACAAATCAAACAAGTAATTGCTTCCCCAAACCTGGTTCTCTACCGACCGCTATGCAGCATAACTGGAGTTGCACCTATTCTTGCCATTTAGCAGGTGTAGCCTCGTGCGCAGGAATCAGCTGCTACGCTAAATTCGCAATCGGCGCTGTACGACCACCGAACAACTCGATTTGAGGTCAAAAGAAGCGAGTGCTCATCGAAGTTTTACCAGGATTGCCCAGGTACCTATCTAGGTAGTACTACTATCTACGATTTCGAGATTATGAATGCTCGTCCGCGCCTATCTGAGTAGCAAGTATATCAAAATGGTAAAAAGAATATATTTATATTGTCCAATTACAGTTTAATGATATAAGTAAAACGGGGATCATCGAAACTAGCATCATAGCAATAAATCCTCTCGTTCTCAAAGGTTAGAACCCGCAGTAATCTCCGAACCGGACGTGCAGCCGACATTCTTAACGACAACAGTGGTTCCGGACTCGCCCGTGACACGGACAGTGACGCTGTCAGTGCCGAAGCCAGAGCTGTGCTCGAAATAGTTGTAGTCTGTCCGAGTGGTGCTGGTCCAGCTGCTTCCGCCATCGGTGCTAACCTCGAACTTGGTGACAGGCTCGTTGGCGTTGACGACCTGCATCGAGAACCAGTACTCCGATGTACCCTCCTTGTTCTTGAGCTTCAGAGGGCCCTCGAGATCGCAGGAGACGGCAGAATAGGTGATGTCAATGACACCGGCGGAGATGTCGGAGAGCTCGGCGAAAGCGTCCTGGAAGAGATCGAAGTGCCCGGATGCGCATTCGGGGCATTTATCCACGACCTATTTTGAGTTTGTTAGCGGTTTTCAGGTTTGTATGTGGGGTTTTGCTTTTGTTTCAAGGAACTTACCATGGCCTTGATGGTCTTTCCGTTGGGCCCAGTGACGGCAACACAGGATCCGCACTTGGATGCATCGTCCCATACAGCGCCGGAGAAAGCAGTTCCAAAGAGGTTGCTGGGGAGGGTGTATCCCGAGAACGAACAAGTTCCACCCGCGACGTTTCCACCATAGAAGGTGGCCTCGCCGGAGGATCCACTCGAAGACGAAGATGAAGATAAAGCCTTGGTTGAAACCTGGGCTGACTGAGCAGCAGCTGCTTGAGAGGTGGTAGTCTCCTCGGCCACGGAAGAGGTAGTCGCAACCACAGCATTGACAACAGGAGCCTGGGAAGACGATGTGGTAACAACCACAGCAGCCTGGCTAGTCTCGGGAACTGCAACCTCAGTGGTTTCGGGAACTGAAGCCTGAGTAGTCACAGGAACCGCAGCCTCAGTGGTCGGGGCCACGGAAGAGGGGAGAGCAGCCACATAGCCGACAGGCGTGGAAGTCTCAATCTGAACTGGAGTTTGAGTCTCGGTGACAGGAGCGGGTGTCGAAGAAGTGCTTGTAGGCTCCTCGACGACCGCCGTGGATGTGGCTGCGCTTGGGGTCGCAGTAATAGGGACAGTCATGGTGATAACAGTCGGCGAGTATCCCTTAGGGCAAACTCCAGAGTTTCCCCGAAGGATCAAGGGACTTGCAGAGACAGTAGCCGCGCCGCCGAGGAGGGCAAAGCCCAAAGAGGCGATGTTTTGATACTTCATTTTGCGTGGTTGTCTTCTCGGAAGGCTTGATAAAGAATGATAATTCCCTCACGAATGCGGGATGAATGAATGGAGGGGTGAAAATGTGTAGAGATTGAACACAATAGCACACAGTATAGAAGGAATGGACGTCTGGATATCGAATCCCAAACTGAAAGAAAGAACTGTCGCAGACAGGTAGTGAAAAAGAGGGTGAGGGACAAGAAGGGAAAGGAAGACGAGGACCTGAGAACATAAATCAAATGAAATCAGGCTATCATCCGAGGCGCTGACGGTGGACACATCCTATTCCGCAGCCACAGGGTTTAGAGAAATGAGATCGAGACATCTGAAACCAACGTGGAGCTCGAATGTCAGAGGCTAAACTCGGGACAGTCCGAAAAAGGATGTGCGCCGTGCCCGAGTGGGCTTAGCGGGGGCAGCTTAATTAATTGAAAGGGAGAATCATTAAACATAATGGCACTACTGAAGACTAGACCGTTGGAGGCTGCAATCCTTCTATGAGACGTAAGATTGTCATATTCCAATGGGGCCAAAAACTTGAACCTGCCCGGGACCCTCGGACCAGTGCTAAAAGATTTGACAAACACCTAGTTGCCAATGTATATACCAATAGTACATGGTGAACACAAAAAGAGATTTTCAATTGTCTACCGCGCATCCCACATGACTTCATTGAGTCGTAAGAGCGCATCCGCGCTGGCCTTTTTGGACGACATGAAGTCTTCTCGGTTGTCGGCACCTCGTGGACCCCGCAGGACTTCGGAGAAACAGAGATCCACTAGCACTCGCAGTTCATCATAAGTAAAGGGTTCGCCGTTACCTGCTGCCAAGGCGCCGTCGCCCTCGGCAGCGAACGCATCCTTCTCGTCCTTGGAGTAGTCTAGTGCCTTCTCGGCACCCTCTAGGAACCAGTCCAGGAACTTGGCGCTCCGAGGCAGGGCCACAATTTCGTGGAGAGAAGCCTCGCCAGGGTGCGAAGGATCAATGGTCGGGTCAATGATGATGTTCTTTAGGTTTTGCTGCAAGACAAGCACATCTAATTGCAGGCGAAGGGCACCATTCTCATTCATCGCTCCTATGTATTTCGTGCAGGACACAAATACGCGGTCGATGAACCGTGCAAGGCCGGAGGTGATAAACCAGTGCTCGGCGGATCCCAGGTAGGTAGATATGTTGGTGTCGAAGGCGATCAGGTCACTGTTGAGTCCTAAGATTGTCGGGGAGGCAGCGGTCGGCTGATTCAGAATAATGTGCCACCAGCTGTCGGTGGTGCTTGGAGAAGGTGTGGCGGGCTCAGAATTTCGAACTGTAGGAGGATTCGGTCCCGACATAGTCTTGGTGAGCATGTGGATGATGCCGCAGCGGATATCAACGTGTAATGTAAAAAGAGCAGTGGATCCGAGACCATGAAGCGATTGCAAAGTCTTGTCAAATGCCGTAGCAGTCTCGTTGTTAAGTGGCAGATATACGGGACTGTTGATGCTATCACGCTTAGGCTTCATTGCTCCAAAGAGTGTCCATCTACGGGACGGTCGGCCATTGGTGGATAATGTAGTCGTGGTGTGCTCAGTTGAAGGATCTACAATTAGTCTGATCTTCGCGAGGTGGCTTCCTAGCCATTGCTATAGACACGAGTTTAGTAATTATCAGGTAGGTAGTTGGTACGGAAGTACTTACCATGCTGTTGTATAGTAGCGAAATGGCCACAACAGTTTTAGGATCGGATATAATATCGTATGGCTCCAAGGGGACTTGATCTGTCCGTTTGAGGAGGAGATCAATTTCCTATTTCTATTAGCGTCTTCTGTCGACAAAGAGCAATGCGATAAGAACTTACAGTATCAATGAGTGTCTGCTTCTTCTCGCCTGGCTCTTTCCATAGCTCCTCAACTATATCATGGATATCACCGGCCTCGGCAAATGAGGCAGCAGCTTTAAGCCGGACGCCACCTCCGTGCATACGAGCGGAGACCTTTGTCACCATTGCTATGAGAGAATTAGTGACTGTCCAATCATTCGATTCTTACTCCACATCGGCAAAGAGACGCACCTTTGTACCATCCGAAACACTTATCATAATAAGTGACGATCTGATCAATCAACAATTGTGTGAATGCTTGGTCATGTGGGATACTCGATAGCATCTTGCTGAATTCTCGCACAATAGACATGAACTTAACGGTTCCCTAATAGAAAAAAATCGTGAGACGAAGAAACAATGTATGAAGAGAGATGAGAATCCTTACCCTAAAGATAGGTCGCGGCGAAACCTTGGTCCACTGTGGATCTTCGGTAAATGCATCGGCGGCAATGAAGCTGAGCGTGCATAGGTCGGTGACAGTTTCATCCAGTTGGGGAAGGAAGACATTGACCATAAAGTCATCAAGGAAGGATGTCAAAGTGCTCATGGAGATATCAGATGCAACAGGGACAATGTCCTTGAGACGTTGGATGAAGGAGAGCGAAGGTGGAAGAAGCAGTCGCATGTTGAAAACGCTTGGCTCGAGCAAGATCTTATGACCAGTTCCAGAGTTGCCTTGTCGGGACGCAGAAACATCGTTTGCAGCTGTTTTTTGCCTGGTTTTTGAAACAAGACCCGGGACCGAAGACTTCAGGATTTCATCCAGCTCGTCTTGCTCGGCCTTCATTTCAGTCTCTTCGTCCATATCGGATAACTTGAACATTTTCTTGTTCTTGTCGCGGTTTCCTGCGTAGAGGTTGCGCCGAGCATCGGCCTCTTCGCCGCGGGAGCCAAAGGAACCATCTCCATCAGTTGCAAGATAATCGTGCAATAAAGATCGAATCTGTTGAAGGGCAAATATTAGTACAGTATTCCAACTACGCAATTAAGTTTACTTACCTCGCTCTGCAAGAGTTTCCACAATTCCTTGAAGCCACCGCCAAGCGTATCACCCTTCTTGAGACCCTCTCGTCCAACAATCGCTTCTATAACGTCATGAACAACTCGGTGGCCCTCTGCAATCGACTCGAATTTGGCATAGAGAGCCCATAAAAATTCAGACAACACATGCCCACGCTTCTCAATGGTTTCCGTAGGCAGGTTGGATTTGGCCTGGTTGTCATGAGAAGAAAAGGTGCGGTTCGGGGCGGGATAACGATTGTCAACTTCGGCATTGGTTTTGTCGACCACTGCGAACAATTCCACGGGGAGGCGCTGCTCAATTCGGTCGACGGCAGTATCGAGATGACCCATTTTGTTGAGTGCTTCGATGAGCAGTTGAATGTATGAGAAGGTGTCTGCCTCGGGATTTCGTGACGAATCTTCTATCATGGCCGTAGTTGGGTCGAATTTGGCCAAAAATGTGTAAATCGGTCGTTCCCAGGAGCGATTACCCGACAGGCTAGAGGAATTGTCTCCTTCGCCCACGGGGGCCTTCCATCTATCCGAACAGTAGGGCGACTTGAGATAGAGGTGATCATGCAGCTCTTCAATCAAAATTTCTGTGAGAGAGGTTTCCTGGTTACTAAAATAAGCCCGAACGTCAGACAGAGCGCCAATGTCTTCAAGCTCGGAGCGGCGCAATAAGCGTGATCCTGTATGCAGTACTTCAACGGCTGCAAGGAATCGCTTGTCAGAGATACGAGATTCAAGCTTCTCTGGGAGCGATTGGATCTCTTCTATTTGGGCAAATAGCTGCAGGATATCGTCATAGTTCTGGGAGGATGTCGCCAGCCCTTTTAGCTCCGGTTTGGTTGACAACAACCCGCTCTTTGCCTCATCAAGAGAGTGTCTCAGGTTGCGCACTCGTCCCTGGGAGCTGGAAATATTAGACTGGATCATGTGGTATGTACCAATGGAACTGTTGAATCCCTGATGGTGCTCTGAGGCAGGTCTCGTCAGTACTAGTAAATCGAATGGGCGGAGAGAAATCCCAACCGTTCACAATTGACTTGAGAGTCCTCTGAATCTCATTGTACATGTTCAGAAAATCTGGCTCGCGTTCGGCTTTTCCCAGAGTACTTGTGTCCATCAGGCTGAGCGCGACATGGACGGGGATACATTCGGCGCCCGTCATAAAATCCCAGTCTCGTTGGATCGACTGTAGGACGTCTTTATAAATTCGATTTGTTAGTGAAGGTTTCAGCAGTTGGAGTTGGAAAAGTGCCCACAAACCTTCAACCGATTGAATCGGTCCCGAATTATTTGGTATAAGACTAGCTGCGTGAGGGTTCATGTCCCGGCTGCGACTCTCCGCATATTGTGCGGCATTTTGCAAGCGATCCTGTCGGGGGCGATCCTCTCTTGAACGCTGTTCTCTTGGGCGATCCTCTCTCGGGCGTTGCTCTCTCGGGCGTTCTTCTCGTGGGCGCTCCTCTCGTGGACGATCCTCTCTTGGACGCTCTTCCCTTGGACGCTCCTCTCTAGACGGGACACCCTCTCTTGAGCTCTGATATCTCCTCTCCGACTCCCCACCTCGTGTCCTCGATCGCGAGGACGCAGAGTGCGACGAGCCCGGTGGCCTCTCCCGTTCTGAGCGATCACGCCGACGCTCCGGCGACGGGGCAGGAGACAACGACGGTTGCTGAGAAGCCTCTGGATAAAATCCACCGTAGCCTCCAGGGCGAGATCTACCAGATGCCGATGAATTGGCACCGCTTCGACCGGCGTATCCGTTCACTCCGAGGTTATTGTTATTGTTATTGGGACCACCATATCCGCCTTCGCTCTGCTGGTCATATCGGCCCGAGTCGGCGTAGCCATACCCGTTTCCGTAACCGTTGCGACCGCTCATTCCCAATGGCTTCTGGCCACTCACGCCAGGTGTCTAGGTCGGTTTCGTATAGTGTTCGTAGGCAGCGACAAGGGGCGCGGGGGAGGCGCAATGTGGGGGACGTTGGGATTCAAGTGCTGTGGCCTTCGCGCGACGGTTGTTGAGGAAGGGAAGCGACCATTCTTGGTCGGAGGGTTCGGGAGGAGGGTATTGTGTTTGTGGAGGGGGAGGAATCGCTGTTCAAGTTGGAGACATTGGCATTGG